CAGACATGGATGTACACTGACTGTAATATAAATAAATGAATGTAACTCAGTTTAATTTAACTGAGTCAATTAAATATATATATATATATATATATATATACTGTATATATCAATTTGATTTGATCAATTTGATTTGTTTTCCTCAATTCAATATATTTGATTGATTTAATATACTTAAAATTTTAATTTAATTGAATTTAAGTTAATAATTTTCTTGATTTATTTTGATTATATTCATTTCAGTCAATTTTATAATATAACTTCATTTCATTTAATAAATTTCACTCAATTTAATTGGGTAAATTTAATTTGATTTAGTAGAATAAATTTAATATGAGTAGATTTGATTTAATTTAAGTCACTTTTTCAACAAGGTCATTGTCACATTCTTGGAAAATAAGAGAGCATAAATTTTGTTTAATGTCTTTTCATTTTTCCAGAGTCCGCTGAGGTTACGTGCAAACAGCCACTCTGTGGAGCGAACCCTGGGCTTTCATGGCAGCTGTGGCTCTCTGCCCAGAGAGGCAAGAGTTCAGGCTGTTCCTAGGGCCAAAGGCAGCCCAATGCACACCTTCAAGAGTGTGGAAATCACAAACGTCTGAACCAGCCTCCATCATTGAAATGATTGTTTACATTGTTATTGTATTATAGTTGTTTACTACTGACAGAAACCTACACTCAGCATTGCTCGACTTTGAAGAGGAAGTTGTCTTAAAGCATTTTAACCACTTAATTTAATAATTCAAATAATTACCATTTTGGCCAGCCTAACAATAAAACATTGTCTTAATAGAAACACAAATAATTTTTAACCAAATTGTTTGTTAATATAAAGAAGAGGAACAATTTTGTGGATACAAAGGTTTTTGTGTTCTTTTTCCAACTAAATTTCCAAATTAGTTTTATATTATGAGTTTATAGAAAATTATAGTAATATCGAGAGTAACATGCACAAGTAACTGTACAGTGATATTCTACTTTGATGCCTTACATGAAATAGGTCTCATGTTTATATTATCTTCACAGCACTGTTGTGGACTCTCTCAATTGTTTTTAACAGGTCAGCTCTTTTTTTCACATAGTAAATGAAGAATAATGCGTGAGGTATAGAAAAAAGCCATTGTTATATGCTTTCACGGTAGAGATACATATTCTGAGGAGACCTGACCTGTGTCATGTCTGGAGACATGAGTGAAATGAATGAGTCTGAGTTTCTGACTCAAATCAATTCCTCCACCTCCCCTGGTGCTCTCCAGGTTCCATTTAAGTTTGTCATCACAATTATTATTATCATACTGTAACAGGTAGTAAAACTTAGTTTAAAACAACATTAAAAGATATGAAATTCAGACATGTAGGGGAGATTAATTTGTTACATATTACCAAGAGGTACAGTTTTTTTTATGAAACAGCAGATACTAGAACAAGAGGCAATCTTTAAAATGAATACTGTACTTTTAAAAACTGGTCCAGCCATCTTCTCATGTTACATTAAGCTAATTTAAGAGATCTATAGTAAATGTTTTGGTTTTAATATAAATATAAAGGCAGATAAAAGAATCATCCAAGGTGGTTTGTAGATAAAAGATACAAGCAAATGTTGGTTATTGAAAGTGATAATGTGTAAAATTTAAGCAAATGGTTTCCCAATGTTTACACTGTAAGCACTGAACTCAAAAGAGAGAATGTAATGGTATCTTTTGTACAGTTTGCTCATGTTTTATAATAGACAGTTGTGTAAAGTTTGCTGTTCCTGAGCATGAGAACACATATGAACACCATGTGCAGCTTAAACCCTGAGGTTAATCCAAACAGTAGAAAAACAGGTTTGTCCATCACTTTCTGGGCGTCTCCTCCAGTCACCAAAAGACAAGCAGTTTAAGCGGGAAGATCAGTTCAAACCTGTATAGACACAGAAGGGAAGAACTCAAATAGTGTTTGCTTTTAACATCAGAGTTAATATGACATTTACTAGTTCTCTTCTCTCAGCTGTCAGAGCTTTTCATGTATGCCAACAATAAAGATGAAATTATTGTCAACTCACATTGTACAGTATTGTCCTGTTATGGTTATTTTCAAAGACAGCTGTGTTAAAATCTGTGTTAACACAATGAGTAAGGATGACAAAACTTTATCTGCTGAGACTTAAGTTGTTTACTCATGATGATTTTGGAAAGTGTGTATCTGTGTACAACACCTGGTCTGCACCAGCTGTGCAGCATGAGATTTCAAATGAAAAAAAAACCTACTTCAGATTACAAAACATTCTGCCAATAATGTTTTGATAAATTGCTGAACACCAGCTATGTTAACAAAATCAGATATTTCCCATTCACCTTCTAATCTAAAGTACACTATTCTACATTTACATACAGTAGGTATTTAAATGTATTTACATACAGTAATATGTAATTACTAATGTTATTACATACAGTAGGTTTGTAAATGTACAGTATGTATGTAAATAAAACAAAATACTTACCAAAATACTATAATTTATTTACTTTTGTTTTGTAGTCAAGTTTACATTGTAGATTTTTAAATTACTAGAGCCTTTACTTGCTAAAATATTCCTCCAGTTTCAGTGTTTTTGGTAAATCACTTATGTGAAACTAACTAGAAAAACGTAGGCGTGACTTTACAAACAATCTTGTATCAAATTTACAAACAGCTGATGGGACTCAGTCCAACTCCTTGATATTTTAAAAATAGACTTCTTTGCTTCATATTAATGTTTGAATTGAATAATGCATTCCTGATCGCATTTGACTCTTTTTGTTAAACTTTACTTAACCTTCACATGTGAGTAAGATGAGTCTTATGAACATGAACAACAGCTGCCCTATACAACCATATGGAGGACAGTATTTAAATTAAAATGGGCAATTTTAAGAGAAAATGTTAAATAACATATGTAATATAACCATGCAATATGACAATTTTATATTGTACTCCGGCAAGTGCCTTGCTTAAGGGCACCTTAGTGGTGGTAATGATGGTACAATGCTGCTCTTTCAACCAGATTTATTCTGCTGATCAGGGGATCATTGCTTCTGATATCAGAAACACATGCCTCTGCCACAAACAAAAATTTGATTAAGCTACACATTTTCATTGATCCAAGTAATAAGAAAAAACAGAATAACTGCCACTTTTAAGCCTCACTTCACTGTATCTGTACCTAAGACTGAGATTGAAATTCATTCTTGACCTTGGGAAGAGTACATTACCAAAACAGTCACCTTAAAGTCCACTCAGTAGCTGTTCTGCAGCTTTCAATCATGTCACAAGATCTTCCTCAGCAGATGGAATTTGCCCAGTTGTCATAGAAATGTAGATGTCAAAATTGTTCTTGTTTTAATTGTGCAGTTCGTTAAAAAAATGAAATGAACTGGGTAATTTCATCTGCTGAGGAAGATCAAGTTGTAAGATTGAAAGGTCCGGCTCAGTCTGAGTTGCTTATAGGACCACAACATGGTCACAGCTGTTGGTTTCTTCCTCTACACATCACTATAGGGATACTAAAAAGGGAAGGGAAAGGGAAGTAGTTTTATATTTATTTTAATAATGTTTGATAATAATGATTGTAGGCTAGTTAAAACAATTAGTCAATTATTCTCATACTCAATTAAATGTTTTAGTCATTGTGATGATTTGCTGCATGTATTTGTGTTATGTAACAGCAAGTTGAATGTCTTTACGACACGCCTTAATAGGCCTAGTATTTTTTCATTTGAGAGAGATTTTGAGAGTTAGGCTATAAATTGATATTGATATAATTATTCAGCCATATGACTTTTCCGCTTTAGTAGTGACTTAAATCTTAACTTAACGTACCGTAAACACAACATTAACCAGGTTACTTTATTCGATATTACTTCACTTCTATTTACTTCATCTGTTTCCGGCTGTATCCCTTTCCCTCCAATTTGTTCCCAGAGGAAGTTTACTTGAGCAGCGCTAGGACCATGGGGAAAACTTAGTCACACAGCCACTTTACAGGCAGGAGAGGGGAGGTTTCACTACGGCTGGAACTTGAACAAAGTTCCTGTAAACTATATTGTTATATGTAGCGGTAAATATTAAAGGAAAAAAATCCGCTCCGTGATTTTAAAAGATAACCATCCATTGAACGTGACGTCAGTTGTTGCGTCTATGCTTCTTCCTCTTTCGCTCTGTCTCTGGTCTTCCTGAAAACACCTGCGTGATTCAGGTAACTCACCGATGAAGAGGGAAGTCCTTGGACACTGAGCGGTGAAAAGGTAAGGCCTCTCGCAGATCACCTTCACCACGAAAACTCATGACTAAGCCCATGGTCACTTTGACCTGGTGTCGTGGATGAGTAGTAGCCTGATCTTTTCTTGTTGAGGCGTTCATTCAGAGTAGCGACCGTTTTAAGTTGAGTCCATAGTGTCGTTCCTGTGAAGGGACAGGTCCTCCCTTTGAGGTCCCTTCCTACTTTACAAACAATGAAAGCAGTGGCTGGAAACTGGCTGAAGGACAGAGATTCTTGCACCATTTTAACCACTTTTCCTGCACCAATACTGAGTCATTGATTGAGCTGTTGAGGTTCCTCATACAGTAGCCTGATAGAAAAAGCAAGTAGGCCTGTGTTCTTTACAGGATAAACTGCTTTTTAAGGTTGGAAACGTCCTGATGTTGAACAGGACACACCCATGCATGCTGTCCAGCAGGCCTGCAACTAAGGCTACAAAGGACTCAAGACTGGTGTTTAAATTCACAAGGAAAGAAAGCACCATATGAAATGAAATGGCAGTCATTCTGTCTGTCAGACTGGCAGAATCTGTCGCCATATTTTGTCCTTGATGATGATACTAATACAGAGCTAGTGGCACAAGTGAATTCAAGTGAATGGGAAAGTATGTCCAAGCTTTTGAGTGGTACTATATATGCTGATATATACTATAACTGCGGAGGAAAACAGGACCCTAAATGAAAGCATAAATTTGCAAAACACAGAAATCATTCATACTGTATTAATTCAGTGAATTCCTTTCAGTTTTATAGTTTTACAAACACCTGTGATCAAACCGTGGATGCACCAACCTCTAGTGTAGTTGGAAAGCAAGTCAAGTCCATCGAAACTGTATTTAATGTTGATCATCAGTGGTGTCAAAGCGGATACAATACTGATTCAGTATACTGAATCAATGCGTCCCTGTACCAAAGTGCACAAAGTCTCAATTTGACGTTTAATGCGATAAACCGTGCTCCACTACATTACATCGGACAAAACTCCTCACACTTGTAAAATACAAACCTTAATTAACGAAACAATCTCAACTCAAGATCCACTTACAGTACCTGCTTGCTCTGGAGCTTTCACCTGTGTCTCATGGTCCTAATCAGAATATTGCGTTTGCTCAAATGTCACAGAACTGTTAATGTTGATGTTACGGTTCTGAGCACCTGTAGCGGTGAGATTGTTTTGTCATCGGCTGTTTCCAAGGTCAACAATAACCTGTCAAAATCAAAAATGTTCCTTGAATCATTTATTAGAATAACATCATTTTGTAAATCATAAAATGATATGATTTTATCGTCGGAATATGATTCCACTGAAAGTTAGTATACAATAATATCCAGTCACTTTATCTATTCAATGAATTGAGGTCTTTTCAAGGAGTTGTACTGACAGATCAGATCAAACGATGTATTCCAAACTGCTGAGTCTCATCCTTTTCAACACAGACATAGTGTATGCAGCTACTTCAATGTCAAAGAGCCAATAAGTATAATAAATGGCTGAACTAGCAGAAAGCATAACAGTTAAATATCTGCAGGAAAGGACAGAAACACCTGCTTCAGTATCACAAGGAAACGCACTGCGTTACTGATGCCAGTGTGTCAATAACATCTTCCGATAGACCAAAGATAATTTATTTTTCCCACTGTTAGCAGTATGCAGCTTTGCTGGCCTCTTTCGTGCATACATAGCAATCAGGACCCCTGTTTTAACATCATTCAGCCCTCCCTGCCTATCCCATCATTTCTATACATCAGAACAAAAGGTGCAGAACAAAAGTGCTCTGCATGAAGGGTTGGGCTAATTAACTAGCATTTATGCACACTGCTGACATGCCTTAAATACTTGGTCCTTTAAATCATAAATGAGAAGTTCATCATGTAAGGAGTGAAGACTTTTCCTCTTTGTGTCCTGCCCTTAGAACAGAGCAGCAGGTGATGGGTATCAAAGGATGGATGCTTGAGATTTTAACTGATTTACTAACTTGAATAAAAGGTCATGTAAACTGTACTGACTTTGTTGTGGTCTCAAAATTATAGAAGTTCTCAATGAAGAAAGGCAACCTCCCACCCCCACTCCTGAAACACTTTAAACCAGAGGCCCAAAAAAAAAAGAATCGACCAACAAGTTCACTTTTTGTTTAAACAGCATATTTATTGTACACTCTGTTTGAGTCATAAGCAAAGGCTAAGTCAGTTATCATCCATGTCACCTCAGATATTTGCCCTGACTTGTACATTTACATAATATTGTGTTCTGCCATAAAAAGAGGTGACTGAAAACAAAGCGTAGTCTCAAACAAGCCTGCAAACATGACTTTACCATTTGAACAGTTTCATCTGTTCCATGTTTGTACATACTGAACTACTGCTATGTAGTTTCCAGTGTGAACCAAGATATGTATAACAACATCAGCTTAATCGGACTGAATATAAATAAGAAATCAAACAAACTGGAGAACTAAATCTACTCTCCACTTTCAGCCGCCATTTTCAAGTAGTGCGTAGGCAAATGAAATCATGCAAAAGAAAATGTTGATCTGCTGCACAAAGTCAACAGCTCAGACAACATAAGGTCTGTTGAAAATGCCACGTTTGTTCATAGATGTCCATTCAGGCATAATGCTACATGTTTGATCAACATGGTGATGACACAGTGTACAGCATTCAACACTTTTAAATGTTGAGTATTATTTGTAGTGTTATACAGTTTTGCATATTGTTATTCAAGACATTCAAATCCCACAATACATGTGTTTTGCGTATGAAAGGTAATATAAAAGC